TCTGTAAAACATTCTGCACCGTGCCCAGTATAGATGCTAGATAAATAAAGAGCCATTATCAACATTTTTACGACTGGTGGCCAGCTGCCATTTCTGGGGACACTGATCCATAAGGATGAAGGTGCTGTAGCTCCAGAGCAAGAAGCACTGAGCTCAAACCCTGCCATGACCCTGTGTGTTACAGCACCCCGGGGTACAGCGTGACGGCAGGCATGACTCCATATTCCCCTCTCCTCCCTGGGCCCAAGGCCGACCCTGAAGGATGACAGAGGGGGAGATAATCCCAGGCAGGCGCACCCACCTAGCTCAGACACCACTTCTTCTCTAGTCACCGACGCCTGGTCTAGAAGCTCTCCAATCTTCTTCAGGCGGCTGGAGTACGGACGGTCCTCCATGCCCAATCTATGTGTTGGGGGAGAGGTTTCAGGGAGGTCAGGGCTAGCAGGGTGGAGGCGCTGGGCAGGGGAAAGGGCTGCATGTGGCCAGGCTGCGGCCAGGCACAAGTGCCCTGACAAGAGGTGGGAGAGGGCTGGGTGTGAGTGGGCTGTTTTGTTCTCTGGGACCCTGAGAGCCCTGAAACACGGACAAGATCAAGAGGCTTCTGCCCATGCCTCCCTAGGGTCTGCAAATAAGGATGGAAGGTTTCAGTTTGTGGCAATGCCAGAGGCCCCCAGATCACCCACACACCCACACCTCACACCTGCAGCCCCATACTCACTCTCTGGCATCTAAGACAGATTGGGCATCTCCCTCCAGCTCCTCCATGTGGCCCAGGAGTTGCTGGAGAAAGTGCTTGCTGGAAGACTCCCCCTGCAAGGCCAGGTGCACAGCCAGGGCCTGCAGGATGGCGCCATTGTAACCCAGGGAGGAGGCGTGTGTCAGCTGGGCTGAGAGCCGGGCAAACTAGGGAGGAGGAGACCTGTTGTCACAGAAGTCCTGCTGCAGAAGAGGGAGGGGACAGCCCAGAAGCCACCCCACCCTCAATACCTTCTGTACATCCTGGACACTGCTATAGGCCAGGGAGATGCCAGCCACCCGCATGGCACCTCCATTGCCATAAGAGCCTTTCCCATTAAACTGGGCCCGGGCAGGCTCAAAGACATCGCGACATTTGGGGTTCAGGAGCTTCTTGAAGACGGTGACTACTCCAGCACCATAGCCCCTGTCAGGGTCCTTCTTGTACTCCTGAGCAAATCTAGGGAAGAGAAGGGGAGACAGAACTGGGATTTACAAGACATCTCTCAGGGTTGGGAGACAAGAAATTGAGACTGGTTTGGAAAAAGAGGAAGCCTTGGGGGCTTAAGGAGCCTGCACCAGCAGTGCTGCTGTTTTAGCTTAGGAAGCTGTGCCAGCCAGACACAGGCTCCTGTGGAGGGTGGGGGCGCGGGCATGCACAGATGTCATTCCTCTGGCCAAGGGGTGCAGTAACTTTGCCCACCTGGTATGCCTCAGCCCAGGCCCATCCCCCTCACCTGTGAGCCATGTCCACCTCGTCAAAGGCCTCCTTGGCTAGCAGGGACTGCACCAGGGCTCTGGCCATGGCTGTGTCATCTGTGTAGTACAAGGCTTCTGTGGGGGAGAGGAGGGAGGATGAGAGCCTCCTGCTCACCTTTTATTTATTTGTCTTGCGTGTGTGTGTGTGTGTGTGTGTGTGTGTGTGTGTGTGTGACAGAGAGAGAGAGAGAGAGAGAGAGAGAGAGAGAGAAAAAGAGAGAGACAGTCTTACTCTGTTGCCCAGGCTGGAGTGCACTAGTGCAATCATGGCTCACTGCAGTCTTGAACTCTTGGGCTCAAGCTATCCTCCTGCCTCAGCCTCTCAAGTAGCTGGGACTACAGGCACACATCCTCACATCCAGCTAATCTTATTTTTTTGTAGAGACAAGGTCTCACTCTGTTGACCAGATTGGTCTCGAATTCCTGGGCTCAAGCAATTCTCCTGCCTTGGCCTCCCAAAGAGCTGGGATTACAGGCATGAGCCACTGTGCCTGGCCCTGCTCACTGTTTATTTTAGTTTGTATCTTATTATTTTATTTAATTAATTTTTTTGGACAGGGTCTTACCCTGTTGCCTAGGCTACAGTGCAGTGGTGCGACCATGGCTCACTGCAGTCTCAACCTCTGAGGCTCAAGGATCCTCCTGCCCTAGCCTCCCGAGTAGCTGGGACTACAGATGCACACCACTATGCCCAGGTTTTTTTTTTTTTTTTTTTCTTTTTTGGGTAGAGACAGGGTTTCATCCTGTTGCCAGGTGGGTTTCATCCTATTGCCAGGCTGGTATCAAACTCTTGAGCTCAAGTGGCCTCTCCCAAAGCACTGGGATTACAATTGTGATGCACTGCGCCCAGCCCCCGCTCATGTTTTAGAGTTACCACATCTAAAATGACCTTAAGTCAGCTTCTCACTCCCACTTTCCTGGGCCCTGGGAAGCCTTAGGAGTTCAGCTTTGGGATTTTCAGCAATTCTTTATTCCAAATCAGTCACCACATCCTGCTGCTTTCTATTTTATGTATGTATGTATGTATGTATGACCCCACATCATGCTTTGATCTGCTGATTTCTGAAGGAAAACTCCCATCCCCTTCTGACTGCCATCCTTGCAGCTCGTCTTTTTGTTTTTTTCTTTTCTTTCTTTCTTTTTTTGAGATGGAGTCATGCTCTGTAGCCCAGGCTGGAGTGCAGTGGCACTATCTCAGCCTCCCGGGATCAAGTGATTCTCCTGCCTCAGCCTTCTGAGTAGCTAGGATTACAGGTGTGTGCCACCACACGTGGCTAATTTTTGTATTTATAGTAGACACGGGGTTTCACCATGTTGGTCAGGCTGGTCTCGAGCTCCTGACCTCGTGATCCGCCTGCGTCGTCCTCCCAAAGTGGTGGGATTACAGGCATGAGCCACTGCACCTGGCCTGCTTTTCTTTTTTTGTAGACAGGATCTTGCCCTGTTGCCCAGGCCAGTCTCGAACTCCTGGGTGATGTCTCCCAGTAGCTGGGATTACAGGTGTGTGCCACCATACCCAGCTTGAAAATGATAGTTTCTAGATCCAGATCTCCTCCTACTTCATGTCTCTGTAGCACATCACCAGTGACCAGTGTCTTCATCTTGAAAATCTTTTCCTAGGTTTCGTTGATATCCATGCCCTTCTCCACCTATCAAACTGTTTCCTTCCCTCGCCCCCTTCCCTCCCTCATACCTCCCTCTTAACTACGGGTGTTCTCCAGGGTTCTGACTATGGCCCATTTTTCTTACTATTCTACCTGCTCTCCAAGAAGATTCACCACCTCTGCTTGACCTCACACCTGCTACCTGAGTCGGGATCTGAGCCATGAGCTAGCTGACAGCACACGGGAGGGAAAAGGGAAGGGAAGTTAGTTTTACAGGTAAGACAGCACATGCAAATGCCTGGCCTAGAGGAAGCATGGTGTGAGGAGCCCAAGAGCAGAAAGCAAGGCCAAGGTTGGTGGAAGATGAAACTGCAGACGTCCGGAAGGGCCGGGCCACGTCGGACACATTAAGGAATGTGGCTCTGTACTAAAGGTAATGGGAAATCACATCACGGTTTCAGCCGGGGGAGGATGAGATTAGAGTCAGGCTTCCAGTGCACGCCCTGCGGGGCAGAAAACCCACTGATGGTGTACTGACTCCAGAGAACTGGGAAAAACAGGTCAAGTCGGCAAGGGCGGACAGACGGTACCCGGCTTAGGATGGTTCAACTTAAGTTTTTTTCGGCTTTCCGATAATGCTAATACGCATTCAGTAGGCTCCTCGACGTCCGATGGGGCTGCGTCCAAATAAAATTGTCTAAGCTGAAAGCGCACTGTCCGCCTCGGGTATTTTCAACTTACGATGGGCTTATCTGGAGGCGACCCCAGAGGACGCGTAGGAGCCTCTAAACACCCGACCAGGCGCAACCTGAGACGGCATTGCCCAGGCCTCCGCCCAGCACCGTTGCGGCCCCGGTGCTGCCACGCCCCGAGCAGGGGATGTTTGGGGCGAGACGCCTAAGGCCGGAGATCGCGCTAGCACTCGCTGAGGCCAAGCTGTTGCGGGTCACCCGGCCCTGACCCCGGCGTCCTCGGCAGCCATCCCCGCGCACCCCTGACCCGTAGTCCCCGGAGGCTCCGCGCCCCTCCGGCCTCCCCCAGGCACAGCCTCCGACTTGCGCCCGGCCCCGCCCACCTGTCCGCTGGCTCCCGGGCGTGTCGGGGTCCGGTTCCAGGTTCTGGACGTGACGCAGGACTGACGTCAGGTCGACCGTGTCGTGGGCCTCGTAGAAGGAGCCCACGCAGTCCCCGAGCAGCGCGCCGGCTAGGCAGCCTCGGAAGCGCGAGAGGGAGCGGGCCGCGCCAGCCCCTCTGCCGCCCGCCGCCGCCATCACCGCCGCCGCCATCCGCGCGCCGGACACTCGCCACTTCCGGTGCCACCCGCGCCGCTTCCCTACTCCCGGCCCGCTGCGCTCCCCGGGGCCTGGAGTCTCCGCTCCGCCGTCCGGCCTACAGCGCCGCCCAGCGGCCTGGAGTCGCGGCGCCGTGCGGCTCCCGCCAGCCTGTGCTTTGAGTCCCCAGTTCTTCCCACTCCTCACCACTGGGCCAACTGGGCGGGAAGGCCACTATGGGTCCCTGGTAGACGGGCACTGAGCCAGACCATTGTACTTCTCTAGGCCACTGCCTCCCGCAGCCGAGCACTCCTAACTCCGCACCCTCGGGCGGCCCTCCACACGGAGGCTGGGACCCCCAAGCCCTCCCTTTCCCTCTGTGGGCCTCACTTAAGGCATCAAGAGGGCGGGCAAGGGGCCAGCTGGGGCACAGCCAGGTAGAGGCCGCGCTGCTGGAGCCCAGGAGTGCTGGCCCAGCCCAGAGAGGGGTTCCCTGAGGCGGGGGGAAGGAACTGGATTTGGTACACGGACTTCAGGGGAATGGTGTTCCCCGTCTTTGCTCCTAGACAGGAAGGTGGCCAAGAACCCTCTTCCTGCTGGCTACATACAGTGGAGCAGAGAACAGCCGGCCTGAGATCCTCCGCATTTATTCCATTCATTCCCTCCTCCCTGCTTCCATTGCCCACCCTATCCTGCCCTCCTCCCGCAGCCCTCCAAGGCTAGGCCAGCTCCAGCTGGCAGCTTTTGAGTGGACTCAGCGTTCTGTTTGTGGTACGTGTGAAGGTGTCCACCTCGGGCACGAACTTCTCAGCAGGCACAGTCAGCTTGCGCCGCGTGTCCACACACTTGGTGTCCAGCAGCATGGAGTTGGCCTTGCAGGCGATGTCAGCTTGCAGCCGGGCCAGGTGCTTGTACAGGGCGTCCAGTGCATCCCTAGGGAGAGGCATTGACAACCCCCCAACCCTCTTAAGGCTGGGAGGCCTGGGCTGCGTGCACAGCCTTCAGTCAGGAGGACATCCCCAGGGAGCCAGCAGAGGCCGCACTGATGGGCAGCGCCACACTGATGGGCAGCGCCTCACTGCCACCCCACCACTCCCCAGACCTACTGTGCTTGCGCCAGCTTCTGCTTCAGGGCAGCAATGGTTGCCTCTAGCTGGTGAACCTCATCGGTGAGGCCGTACTGTGCCTGGAGGCCGCAGAGGGGTTGGGAGTTCCAGGTCAGCCACACTGTCCTTACCTGGGTGCTGCCCCGTGACAGCAGTGCCCTTGCGCCATCAGGAACATGAGAAAACCTTGGCCAGGGCGCCCATGCCCCACTGGGATGCCCTGTCACCTGGTCCCGGCACAGTTCCACGTTGGGCCGGTAGGTTCTGGCCTCTAGCCGGGTATGGGACAGCTTCAGGCTCAGGAACTTTCTGCGCAGATCCTCCTCTAGGTGCCGGATGTCCTCCTGCAGCTCAGCGATCTCCTCCAAGGTCTGCAGGGACAGAGTGACAGGTTTCCACCGGCTGGACTCGCCAGGTGCAGCTGGTCCAGGGCCTCCCGGCGGGGGCCGGTGGCTCCTCATCCCATAGCCGGACGTCCAGGCCCCAGCACAAGCTCACATTCTTCTCCTGCCACTTGAGCTCACTGTACACTTTCTCCATCTCCCGCAGCCGCTTCCTGAACGCAAATTCCGTTGCGACTCTCTGGGCTTCAAGCTCGTTGTTGGTCTGAAGGAGAAAACATAATCAGGGCAAGGCGGGGGTCTGCATTCACGGCCACCTGAGGACATTACTCAGGCCAGGGCATGGGGGCTACGTGCACAGCAGGGAACAGAATGTATGGGCTGACCACACACTGGGGCCATCCATGAGCCGTGGGTGGGTGGCCCGTCACCTCAGCGATAGTTAGGGCAATGGCCTCCCTCAGCTCCCTAGCTGCTTTCATCTCAGCCTCTGCTCGGTCCTTGTTGAACTGACTGAAGTTATCCCACTGCTGGAGTGTGGTGGAGCTGCGGGCGGCAGGGAAGATGGGCGTCAGGAGGGCGTGGCCTGGGAGGGGAGGAGGGGGACTGGCTGAGACATTCTTCTTACCCATCAGGGACACGTGTGGGGTCGACCTTCAGAGAGATGTTTGGGGACTTGAGGTTAAGAGAGAGACAGCCTCTGTCAATCTCCAGTGTCTCCATTTTGCCCCGATGGTCGGAGTGGAGCTGCTGTCGGACTTCCTGCAGGAGGCTGGGGAAAGCACAGACTCCATCAGGAACCATCTCCCAAGGCCCAGAGGCAGGCCTGGTGGTGCTAAGGGGACACGGCGGGAAGAGGAGGCTGGGGTGACCCCTCCCAGTAGAAGATAATGGAGCTGCAGCCAATGAGGCCGAGAGCAGCACAGCTGGATGAAAATGCTGACCTCCCTCCCCCGCGTGCACTACACACCCTCGGGCACACGCATGTAGCTGCGCTCACAAAAGCTCCTACGCACACACTCACAGGAGCTACTCAGAGGTGGTGGCATTCATGGTCACCTCTCATGCTTCCAGTCAGTGGATACCAACTGCCCTGGGCAGGGTCGTGAGAGGTATTCTGAGCCCATGTCCAGGCAGTGGGAAAAGTGCTACAGTGGATTAGTGGTTTCTGCCACAGGCACCAGAGGGCCAAAACGTAGCATGAAAGCGGGTTGCTTCTCATCCACAATCCCTGCGTTCCACACCAAAGGCCCACAGCCTCAGGGGCCCGTGAGCATGCCAGCGACCTGCCTCTCCCTTACCAGAGCTGCTCGAAGGCCTGGCTGATCCTCTGTTGCAAGGCCTTCTTGGTGGCCTCAATGACCTCCACCTCTTTATGCAGCTCATCCTCCACAGGGTCCTTCACCACATCAATGTCTCGCCGGCTTTCCCGCAGGGTCAGGCACTCAATGGCCACGTCCAGAGGCAGGTTCTTGGCCTGCAGGTTTTGCTCTGCTGACTCTTTCATCTAGAAAAGAGGGTGTGGCCCGGCATGGTGGCTCACGCCTGTAATCCCAGCACTTTGGAAGGCCGAGGCGGGTGGATCACCTGAGGTCAGGAGTTCGAGAACAACCTGGCCAACATGGTGAAACCCTGTCTCGACTAAAAATACAAAAATTAGCCGGGGCCGGGCGCGGTGGCTCAAGCCTGTAATCCCAGCACTTTGGGAGGCCGAGGCGGGTGGATCACGAGGTCAAGAGATCGAGACCATCCTGGTCAACGTGGTGAAACCCCGTCTCTACTAAAAATACAAAAAATTAGCTGGGCATGGTGGCACGTGCCTGTAATCCCAGCTACTCAGGAGGCTGAGGCAGGAGAATTGCCTGAACCCAGGAGGTGGAGGTTGCAGTGAGCCGAGATCGCACCATTGCACTTCAGCCTGGAAAACAAGTGAAACTCCATCTCAAAAAAAAAAAAAAAAAAAAAAAAAAAAAAATTAGCCGGGCGCGGTGGCTCAAGCCTGTAATCCCAGCACTTTGGGAGGCCGGGCGGGTGGATCACGAGGTCAAGAGATCGAGACCATCCTGGTCAACATGGTGAAACCCCGTCTCTACTAAAAATACAAAAAATTAGCTGGGCATGGTGGCACGTGCCTGTAATCCCAGCTCCTCAGGAGGCTGAGACAGGAGAATTGCCTGAACCCAGGAGGCGGAGGTTGCGGTGAGCCGAGATTGCGCCATTGCACTCCAGCCTGGGTAACAAGAGTGAAACTCCGTCTCAAAAAAAAAAAAAAAAAAAATACAAAAATTAGCTGGGCATGGTGGCACATGCCTGAAGTCCCAGGAAGGCTTGAGGCGGGAGAATCGCTTGAACTCAGGAGGTGGAGGCTGCTGTGAGCCAAGATGGCTTCACTGCACTCCAGCCCGGGCAACAGACTGAGACACCGTCTTGGAAAAAAAAAAAAAAAAAAAAGAAGGAAAAGAGGGGGTGGGAGGTGCTGGTGGAGCCATCCATGGGGAAGTAGCACTTGTCCCCACGTTAGCAGGGGCCAGTGACTGGGATGGACATACCACTCATGACCCCCCAGTCAAAGGCTTCTCAACCCAACCATGGGGAAGGAGGGGAGGTTTTGGCAGCAACCCCAGGGGAACCAGGTCCTGGCTCCCTGCCTGTGTCAGGGCGTCAATCTCGGCATCCAAATCTGTCAGACACTTGTCCAGCATCTCCTTCCACCGGTTGACGGTATCAATCCTCTCGGCCAGTCGAGTCCTGTTGTCATGTTCATCCCAAATGGTCTGAGAGACAGGGCCAGATAAAGAGGGTGTCAAGTGGTTGGGGGCTATCCCTTTGCCCACCCAGCTGAGTTCCCGTCCCCAACCTGGTTGTTGGTCTCGTTGCGGAGCACCCGGGCCTCCTGGCGGATCTGATGGGAAACATCTCGCTGCAGCTGGGCATTGGTGGACAGCAGGTAGCTGTTGGTGTGCCAGTCGGGCAGCTGGAAGCGCTGACCGGGCTTGACGCTCAGTGTGGCCATGGCTCAGAAACCAGAAGGGTCAGAAGCCCCCTAGGCCTGTTCGCAAACAGCACCTGCAGAGGGTACAGTTCAGGAGAACTTCTCCGGGATCACGTGCCCCTGCGCGGGACTGGTTCCTGTCCATTTTGCTGTGAGCCCCGCCCTGCTGGAAGCCTGCCTGGGACAGCCCTTGCTTTACTCAGCTTTGTGTGAGGCATTAACTAGGTTTCCCTCCCTCCTGTCCCCTGGGGGACACAAACCCCTGGACCTTGGAGGTCCTGGAGCAGGTAAAAAGGAATATTGGAGTCCGGGAAGCCTTGACGTGTGTGCACAGTGCCAAATGCCTAGGGGGAAGGGGGATGGCAGAAAAAAATAGCTCTTAATGCAGTTTCCACGCCGGCTCCCGGCAACTATGTCTTGTTGGGCTTCCTTTCCTTTCTTCCCCAGTCTGCCGGCCAGGCCCTGTGGGGGATCTAAAGACAGGAACCCTGTTCTCTCTCCGGGGACGCGTGCTTGTGGGCACTGGGGAGCTGGGGGGCGGCCCTCTTCTCATTTGGTTGCCGCTACGCCCCCTCCCCCCTCTGCCCTCGCCTTCTGTTGGAGGGGGAGGCGGGAACGGGAGGGCCCCGTGGGAGGAGTCCGGTTCCCCTCAGAACCCCTTTCCTCCCCGCCGCAGGATGATCACCTTTGGTTTAGATAAGTACCCCGACCCGGCGCGGGGGAAAGGAGCGCCCTGGCTCCCCTCGCCCCTTTACCTCCTCTCCCGCTTCGCCCGCCGCGCCCCCCGCTCTGAGCTCCAGTGTTTGGCGCCCCCGGTTGCTAGGCAACTGCACACCCCCGCCCAGACGCGGCCACAGCGGCCACCGCGACCTGGGTGCTTCGCTTGGCAACCGCGGCGGCGGCGTCCCCGGAGGCCCTTAGGGTAGGCGAGGGGCTGCCGGCCGAGCCTGGGAGGGGTGGGGGCATCAGAGCAGCGCTTTCACTTGCTTTACAAATTAAATGAGCTTTTGTTATTTTTTCAGACAGGGTCTCGCTCGGTCGCCCGGGCTGGAGTGCTGTGGCTTGATCTCGGCTTACTGCAGCCTGAACCTCCCGGGCTGAAGAGATTCTCCCACCTCAGCCTCTCGAGTTAGCTGGGACCACAGGCGCGTGCCACCATGCCCAGCTTAATTTAAAAAAGATATTTTTAGTATAGACAGGGTTTCACTATGTTGCCCAGGCTGGTCTCAAACTCCTGGCCTCAGGCGATCCACCTGCCTCGGCCTCCCAAAGTGCTGGGATTACAGATGTCACAAAACCAAAGCCCCTGGAACGTTTTGTTTGGGGATCTCTCATTACCACACAATCTGTGAGTGTGCCCCATTTCTCAAAATGTTCTCTTGAACTATCATCTGTAGTTTCAAAGCTCAGACCACCAATAAATAGTTTTCTTAACTGCTCTGTTTCCTTTGGATCAAGACCCTTCTCCCCGCCCCCCGCCCCCCACCCCCCACCCCAGAGACAGCCTGAGTCGGCCTGGGGGCCACCGGGTGGAAGTTTTACCTTCATTTTGAGACCGGACTCTGCCTGGATAATTTTTATATTTTTAGTAGAGAGGGGGTTTCACCATATTGGCCAGGCTGGTCTCAAACTCCTGACCTCAGGTAATCTGCTTGCTTTTGTCTCCCAAAGAGCTGGGATTACAGGCATGATCCACCGTACCTGGCCTGTTTTGTTAATTGCAAGTCTGTCTTCAGCAGGACTGAAGCCAGAACAGTATTTTCCAAACTCCCTTCATCACAGAGTATTTTTTTCCACAGGTTATTTTGTAAGGTCTGTGTGATTTGTAAACTGGGCATGAACAAGAATTTGTGATATAGCCTCTTTACCAGGATTGAAGAAGACAGAAAAAATACCGGACAAATTAATTGCTGGAAGAAATGATCAAATTTTGGCTTACATGTCTTGCAACATTTGTATAACACAAAGAAGTAACCAAATATGGCAGAACTGCGGTGTCTTTGGCATCTACTTTTGACCGTGGTGGTGGCTGTGGTATTCATTGCTCCTGGGGTATTCACATACCCTGCCCATGGGAAGAAAGTGTTGGCCAAAAAGGTCAGCCAGCTGATGTCTTGGACCAAGAAAGACAGAGTGATAAGAATGAGTGAAACCATGTTCTATCATTTTGTATTTGATGCACCAAAAAACTATTCTGTTATTGTGATGTTTACTGCTCTGCACGAGTTCAGTTCATGTGTAGCGTGCAAAGATGCTGCCGAAGAATTTCACATCTTGGCAAATTCCTATCAACACCCTGGTGCATTCACCACAAAGGTATTTTTTGCGATGGTGGATTATAATGAAAGCCCTGAGGTCTTTGAAGCGCTTCAGATAACGTTAGTTCCAAATTTCTTCCACTTTTCTGCCAAATGGGAATTTACAACAGATGACATTTATGGTTTGAGAGGAAGGGATATTGTTGCTGACCAAATGGCTGAATGGGTAGCAGAAAGAACACATGTCAGCATCAGAATCAGACAGCCTACAAATTATCATGGTCTCCTCAAGCCAGCGATACTTTTGACTCTCATTGGCGGACTTGGGTATTTCTTGAAATGGCATAGGAAATCTATTTCCTGCAGCGTTTTGTGTGAACTTTTAACTCTGTGCTTTGTGATTTTGATGACATCTGGTCAAATATGGACTTATATAAGAGGAGAACCATATGCCCAAAGGGACCCTCGCACAGGACAGAAACATTATATCAGTAAATTTAGTCAGGCTCAGTTTGCAGCAGAAACATACATTATTTCCCTGTTCAATATGTGTGTTACCCTGGGAATGTTGCTGTTGGATAAGGCTGCCACCTCTAGGACGGATGTCATAAGAAGAAAGATGATGTGTCTGTGTGGTATGTGTCTAGTTGCCACGTTCTTTACCTGGCTGCTCTCCCTCTTTAGATTTAAAATACCTGATTATCCATACAGCTTTCTCTTCGATTAAAAAGGATCCTACAGACATAGATGATGAAGCAAGAAGTTTGAAAAAAAAAAAAAAAGAAAAGAAAAATGCAAACTCATAACTTTTTTAAGTCATTGAGATTTCACCAGAAGAGAACATGAAATAAGTGTCTTGACAATAATAAATCATTTGCTGTCAAAATCTGTGAAGTATTACAGTCTGTATCTTCTCTGGTCTTAATTTTTCTCCCACGGAAGGGTTACAGGTTACCTCAAGTGGAATTATGAAAGTCTTTAGAGAGTACAACTTTCATCAAATTGGAACAATGTTTAAAAGCACTTTAGTTGGCTGGGCCCAGTGGCTCACGCCTGTAATCCCAGCACTTTGGGAAGCCAAGGAGGGTAGATCACGAGGTTAGGAGTTCAAGACCAGCCTGGCCAATGTGGTGAAATCCTGTCTCTACTAAAAATACAAAAATTAGCTGGGCATGGTGGCACATGCCTGTATTCCCAGCTACTAGGGAGGCTGAGGCAGGAGAATTGCTTGAACCCAGGAGGGGGAGGTTGCAATGAGCCGAGATCGCGCCACTACACTCCAGCCTAGGCAACAGAGCAAGGCTCTGTCTAAAAAAAAAAAAAGTACTAGTTAATATCAATACTTGGTCAGCTTATGTCATTCTAATATGAAAAATAATCTTTTTTCTTTTTCTTTTGAGGTAGGGTCTCACTCTGTTGCCCAAGCTGGAGCGCAGTGGCACAATCTTGGCTCACTGCAACCTCCGTCTGCATCCTCGGTTCAAGCAGTTCTCCTGCCTCAGCCTCTTGAGTAGCTGGAATTACAGGCGTATGCCACCACACTTAGCTAATTTTTTGTATTTTTTAGTAAGGATGGGGTTTTGTCATATTGGCCAGGCTGGTCTTGAACTCCTGATCTTAAGTGATCTGCCCCCCTCAGCCTCCCAAAGTGCTGGGATTACAGGCATGAGCCACTGTGCCTGGCGGAAAAATAGTATCTTTTTTTTTTTTTTTTTGAGACGGAGTTTCGCTCTTGTTATCCAGGCTGGAGTGCAATGGCACGATCTCGGCTCACCGCAGCCTCCGCCTCCTCGGTTCAGGCAATTCTCCTGCCTCAGCCTCCTGAGTAGCTGGGATTACAGGCACGCGCCACCATGCCCAGCTAATTTTTTGTATTTTTATTAGAGACGGGGTTTCACCATGTTGACCAGGATGGTCTCGATTTCTTGACCTCGTGATCCACCCGCCTCAGCCTCCCAAAGTGCTGGGATTACAGGCTTGAGCCACCGCGCCCGGCCGAAAAATAGTATCTTGACAAGATATTCCCACACTTGGCTGCTGATGATAACTGCATTAGCCCTCCATGGAAGTGTACATTTGGAGTCTGTTTTATGGGTGGAGAGAGCAGTTGTATGATGTTGTCCCCTGAAGTTTAAATATCTATGTTCAGAGTACACTTCCAAAGCTTAGAGGCAAATATAGTACTTCATACTACTACATGTCCACCTCCCCTACTGGAACACACCAGTATGTTTTTTTCTTTTATGTGCTTTTTTTTTTTTTTTTTTTTTTTTGAGCCTGGCCCTTTTACTATGCTTCCAGATAGTTGAAGAGATTACAAACCCATTAAACACCAGATTACAATTTACCTGTGACTGTTATCTTTTATCTGGAAAGATTTCAGATATGTTATCTTTCCTTATTTTTCTTTCATGTGGCCAATCTCTAAGAAAATAGCGTTTCCTATTTCTATGTTGACTTTGTTGACTTGAGGTTGTTTTCCGTTTACTTTAAATCTAAGAGAAAAATAGGTATAAAGGTATAAAGACAGTTGAGAACATAACTAAGAATTCTTTTTTTTTTTTTTTTTTTTTTTTTTGAGACGGAGTTTCACTCTTGTTATCCAGGCTGGAGTGCAATGGTGCGATCTCGGCTCACCGCAACCTCCGTCTCCTGGGTTCAAGCAATTCTCCTGCCTCAGCCTCCCGAGTAGCTGGGACTACAGGTCTGCACCACCATGCCCAGCTAATTTTTGTATTTTTAATAGAGATGGGGTTTCACCATGTTGACAAGGATGGTCTTGATTTCTTGACCTCGTGATTCACCCGCCTCGGCCTCCCAAAGTGCTGGGATTACAGTCTTGAACCACTGCGCCTGGCGTGAGACAGAGTCTTACTCTTGTCACCCAGGCTAGAGTGCAGTGGCATGAATTTGGCTCACTGCAATCTCTGCCTCCCGGGTTCAAGTGATTCTCCTGTCTCAGCCTCCCGAGTAGCTGGGATTACAGGCACCCGCCACCATGCTTGACTGATTTTCACATGTTTAGTAGAGACAGAGTCTCACCATGTTGGCCAGGCTGGTCTCGAACTCAGGTGATCCACCGCCTCGGCCTCCCAAAGTGCTGGGATTACAGGTGTGAGCCACTGTGCCAGGCCTGTTATTTTTAAGACAGAGTCTATGTCGATCAGGCTGGAGTGTAGTGGTGTGATCTTGGCTCACTGCAACCTCTGCCTCCTGGGCTCAAACAATTCTGCCTCAGCCTCTTGAGTAGCTGGGACTATAGGTGTGTACCGCCACGCTCAGCTAATTTTTGTATTTTTAGTAGAGATGGGGTTTCACCATGTTGCCCAGGTTGGTCTTGAACGCCTGACCTCGGGTGATCCACTGGCCTCCCAAAGCGCTGGGATTACAGGTGTGAGTCACCATTCCCCACCAGTTAATCTGATTTTACATGTGTGTAAAATACATGTGAAAACCCTCTGAATGATGGAGCTGACTAAAATCCTGTCTGGGGCAGCATCAGACCATCCTATGTTCTGTATTTGTTTTTGATTTTTTTTGCAATACAATACGGAAATTCCTAGCAAGACAGTCATAGTCAAGGAAGAGTAATATTGTACATGTAATAGTTTCAAGTACTTTTGTTTTGTTTTTGTTTTTGACACTGGGTCTCACTCTGTCACCCAGGCTGAAGTGTAGTGGTATGATCATGGCTCACTGCAGCCTCCATGTCCTGGACTCAAGTGATCTTGTCACCTCAGCCTCCCATGTAGCTGGGAGTACAGGTGCATGCCACAATGCCTGCTAATTTTTGCAGTTTTTGTAGAGACAAGATTTCACCATGTTACCTGGGTTGGTCTCAAACTCCTGGGCTCAAACAATCCACCCACCTTGGCCTCCTGAAGTGCTGGCATTACAGGCGTGAGCCACCACGTCCAGCCTCAGGTACTTTTGAACTGGCATGTTTCTAAAATCATTTTGCAAAGCCTATTAAAATTTTGTTTCAGTTGAGAATCAAACATATTGGGCTTTATGATACTAAGCCACCAAGGTATCTGTTTTGTTTGTAATTTATAAATTCTGAACCCCAGCATTATTCTTTTTTTTTTTTTTTTTTTTTGAGATGGAGTTTCACTCTTGTTATCTAGGCTGGAGTGTAATGGCGCGATCTTGGCTCACCACAACCTCCGCCTCCTGGGTTCAGGTAATTCTCCTGCCTCAGCCTCCTGAGTAGCTGGGATTACAGGCACGCGCCACCATGCCCAACTAATTTTTTGTATTTTTAGTAGAGACGGGGTTTCACCATGTTGACCAGGATGGTCTTGATTTCTTGACCTCGTGATCCACCCGCCTCGGCCTCCCAAAGTGCTGGGATTACAGGCTTGAGCCACCATGCCCGGCCACATTATTCTTTTTTTCTTTTCTTTTTTTTTTTTTTTTTTGAGACAGAGTTTTGCCCTTGTTACCCAGGCTGGAGTGCAATGGCGCGATCTCGGCTCACCGCAACCTCCGCCTCCTGGTTTCAGGCAATTCTCCTGCCTCAGCCTCCTGAGTAGCTGGGATTACAGGCACGTGCCACCATACCCAGCTAATTTTTTGCACTTTTAGTAGAGACGGGGTTTCACCATGTTGACCAGGATGGTCTCGATCTCTCGACCTCGTGATCCACCCGCCTCGGCCTCCCAAAGTGCTGGGATTACAGGCTTGAGCCACCGCGCCCGGCCCGGCCGCATTATTCTTAAGAAAAAAAAAATTTTTTTGAGATGGGGTCTCACTCCATCACCAGGCTGGAGTGCAGTGGTGCAATCTTGGCTCACGGCAACCTCCACGCACTGCAACCTCTGCCTCCCCAGTTCAAGTGATCCTCCTACCTTAGCCTCCCGAGTAGCTTGGATTATAGCTTCACTACCATGCCCAGCTAATTTTTTGTATTTTTTGTAGAGACAGGTTTTCACTATGTTGCCCAGGTTGGTCTCAAACTCATGAGTTCAAGCAATCCGCCTGCTTCAACTTCCCAAAGTGCTGAGATTAGGGGCATGAGACATTGCGCCCAGCCCAAGAAAGAGATTTTAATAGGGAAAAGTACAAGAAAAGCACTACTCTATAATGGCAATGGTTTACACCTGTAATCCCAACACTGTGGGAGGACGAGGCAAGAGAATCACTTGAGGTCAGGAGTTCCAGGCTAGACTGGACAACATGGCAAAACCCTGTCTCTACTAAAAATACAAAAATTAGCTGGGCATGGTGGCACCTACCTGTAGTTCCAGCTACTTGGGAGGCGGAGGCAGGAGAAACCCTTGAACCCGGGAGGCGGAGGTTGCAGTGAGCCGAAATCGCACCACTACATTCCAGCCTGGGTGACAGAGTGAGACCCTCTCTCACAAAAAAAAAAGAAAAGAAAAAGAAAAAAAATGTTTAAACAAGTAAAAATTATTTGCAGACTGAAATTGGTGGGCCAACTTGTGACTTCGGATATTAGTCTCACAAATTCAATGACAAGATGAAGAGCTATACCTGAAATTATGCAGTTAAAGCAGGCTGATAGCTGGTTTCCCAAATCTTAGTTTTCTGGCATCGCATATCAGGGCTGTGTATCCACTTCCAGGCCTGTTAAGTTTCCCTCAGTTCATTTGATTCCTTTTTTTCCTACACATCCTTAATTATTTCACCTCCCGGCAAAGTTTGTTAGCCTGATGTCATCTCCCCGTTTTCACTCCACTCACTGTCTTTTATTTAAGAAGGTGAAAAATGAGAGGGGTTGTAGGGCAGGTGGGAGGTAGGGAGTCTTTTAAAAATCTAAGCTCCATCCACATAATCAGCACTGGAAACGTTCTCTATATTGTCTCATCTAATGCTCCAATGGTTC